TACTTGAGGAAGGTGGTTCGTGGGATACATACCTTCCGTTGATAGAGTTTACTTATAATAACAGTTATCACTCTAGTATCGGAATGGCACCATTCAAAGCTTTGTATGGTCGGCGGTGTAGGACTCCGTTGTGTTGGTATGAATCGGGAGAGAGTGTGGTACTCGGACCGGAGATTGTTCGAGAGACTACTGAGAAGGTGAAGTTAATTCGAGAAAAGATGAAAGCTTCACAGAGTAGGCAGAAAAGTTATCATGATAAGCGCAGGAAGGATTTAGAATTTGAAGCTGGAGATCATGTATTTTTGAGAGTCACGCCTGTGACCGGTGTTGGTAGAGCTTTGAAATCTAAGAAGCTTACTCCTTGTTTCATTGGTCCGTATTAGATATTGGACAGAGTTGGAAAGGTGGCATATCGAGTGGCGTTGCCGCCAAATTTGTCGAATCTACACGATGTATTTCGTGTGTCACAGCTCCGCAAGTATATTTCAGATCCGTCGCATGTCATTCCCATGGACGATGTGCAAGTACGTGAGAATCTTACTGTGGAAACGAAGCCTATGAGAATTGATGATCGGGAGGTGAAGACGTTACGAGGTAAAAAGATTGCTTTGGTGAAATTGGTCTGGTTGGGAGCTGCTGGCGAAAGCTTGACGTGGGAACTAGAGAGCAAGATGCGGGAGTCTTATCCCGAGCTGTTTGATTAAGGTAATTTCGAGGACGAAATTCTTGTAAGTAGGGGAGAGTTGTAACGCCCGTTTTATTTTGATTAAATTCAATTATGACTTTTCTATGTCTCGTTGCGTCGTAGTCATAGTTGAGTATGTGTTTGGATCGAAGGAAGGAAATTGAATCGGTCGAATTGTCAGGAAAAAGTGTAAAATTCCGTAGCGGTTTTAAGAAACTTTGAAAAATCATATCTCTTGATCCGTAAGTCGGATTTGACCGCCGTTCGAAGCGTTGGAAAGCTAAAGAGATGTTCTATCTGGAAAAAAATTTAAAAAAATTTAATTATTCTGATATGACGACCGTCATGGATTTTCCACGACCGTCACGACCGTGACGCTCGTCATGGACTTGTTACGATCATCATAGTAATAAAATCCATAGAATTGGAACGTGGGGAATTTTAGTACGGTTATTCCACATTTCACTTACTCTCATTTTGTCGGTTTTTGGAAAAGAAAAAATATAACTAAAAAGAAAGTATCGTAGTTGAGAGAAGGGGAGAACGGAAGAATCATCGATCGGTGAAAATCGGAAGAGAATTGCAGGAGAGTTTCCGTAAACCAGAAGCGGAACCGGAGAGCGTGGAATTGACCTCAATTCTAAGGTAAGGGTGGGGTTCAATTCTATAACCAAGAGTATGATCGAATTCATGTGGGGATCGAGTCATAAGTATAGTTTTCGTTAATCGATAAATGTTAAGGAAAAGGCTTCCCTAATGGGACCAGATTTCTATGTAGGAATGAATGTGTTATGTAGTTATTAGTGTGATGCTCTAAGGTTTTCCTTATGGGCAAATACGTAGAACGAATATGCTATACAGTTATTCGTACAACGCTCTAATGGTTTTCCCTAATTGGCCAAAAAGGACAGTTACCTGGTTGTGATTGATTTGTAATTAATTATGTGGGAAGATGCCGTAATGTTGTTATTACGATAAGATGTTAAAGATTAATTGTTGAATTGATGTTGATGTTATACCTGTATAGGAATAGCCGTTTTGGATGAACATTTTGAGTTCCTATTTGTTGGTACGATGTTGTAATGTTCCTTTACATGAACAGTCGTAAATGTTGAAATTATGTTGCCATTGTTCCCGTATGTGAACGGGTAGAAAGTGATGGTTGTATGAGTGGTATGATGTTATGATGCTCTGTTATGGACATTCTGGTTGTAGGCGTAATGCCTTGTTATATGGTTGCTATGGTTGTGTTGTAGTCCATAATAGATGCATTTCATGGCATAGCATTTGGCCTGGATTGGCGACGGTTGTGCCTGTATTGGCGTTATTTGGAGTGTTGTCTCCTAGATGGGTTCGGGGTGTTGGCCCTGTCCCGAGTTTTGGAGTGTTGGCTCCTAGATGGGTTCGAGGTGTTGACCCTGTCCCGAGTTGTGGAGAGTTGTCTCCCAAAATGGTACCACATGCATGTGCACAGTTGAGTCGCATTGTTGAGTCGCATAAAGTCGCATAATTACGCTAGTTGTATGTTAATGTTGTTTATGTGAGATATGGATTACTCGTAGTTGTTGTTGATGATGTTTATGATTTCGGAACCTATAATGCTGTGATGAGTTTCCGGCATGTTTTCTATCATGCTTTATGTTATATTATTGATATCTCACCCTTTTCCGTTGTATGTTACCTCCTCTGGTGGTAATTTGCAGGTAGTCAGAAATAGAGCGTAGTTCCCGTTAAGGTGTCGTTGGTCGCTCTGATACGTAGCACTATTGGGGGGATGGACGATTGCTGTTATTATTTTAGTTGATGTTATTGTTGATTGAACTTGTTACGATGTTTTTATTAAATTGTTTTAAGAGAACATGTTGTATACTTTATCGAACTTCCACCGGAAGTAATGACGAGTTGTTTTATGATTAAATGGTTAAGTAATACATTGGCGATTGTTCATCTAATTTCGTGCTACGTATGATAATTGCAAGTTGTTGCATAATGATTGTTGTCTGGCAGGTTGAAGTGTAACATCTCTGATATGATGAATTTTGCCCGTGTGACGACCGTCATGCAATCAATGTTTGCGCTGCTGCGCTTTGTTTGCTATATGAATTATTGTTTTTCCCTGTTATCTGAAAGTTTAGATTTGGGGTGTTACAGTTACCGTAGCTACAGTTTAACCCAGATGTGAGATCTGTGGAACCCAAGGACATACTCTAGCTGAACGTAATCTTTTAGCTGAAACAACCACAAGCCATGTCAATTACGCCCAAGGCAACCCTTATTCTAATGCGTATAATCCTGGATGGAGGAATCACCCAAATTGTTTCCTATAAGAATAATAACCCTACTCATAATTCTACACTCCAAAGACCACCCGGTTTCTAAGCTCAAAAACCAAACTCACCTATGCAATCTGCTCCTCAAAAGTCGAATTTTGAGAAAATGGTGGAAGGTTTCATCGCAACTCAACTTCAATAAAACAAGGATTTCATGAATCAAAACATTCATATAAATGGACTAATTACACAATTGGAACTCTAAATTTCATTAAGTCCCAAATTAACAAAATCCCTAGTCTTCAACTAACTGATTGTAATCTCGACCAAGGACATCAATATCATCGATGGAGACGTCTCGTCAAAAAATGTTTATTCTGATTTCATGGTCGAATGACCATTTCGACTTAAATTAAACACCTAATTCATTAAACAGTCTTCAATTATTAAATCTTGACAATCAAAGTTTGTGCTGAAAATTTGAGGTAACACATTTCAAATGAAGTGTGTGAAGAATATGTTCAAGCAAAACAACACAAGAATAACTTTAGCAAAGATGCAAGAAGCAAGACGAATGTAATCCTTGAAGTCATATATTCAGATGTATGTGGTATTATCGAGGTAGATTCAATTGGAGGTAACAAATGTTTTGTCACATTCATATATGATTTTAGTCGAAAACTGGGGACATACCTAATCAAGAAGAAAATTGATGTGCTTTAGGTGTTCATCAAGTTTAAATCTATGGTGGAGAGACAAAGTGGTCAAAAGTTGAAGGCCCTGACGACTGATGGTGGTGGAAAGTATGTTTCCAATGAATTAGTGGTGTGTTAAATATGTAATTCATTGTGTTAATCATTCGAAAGAGTCAAAGTCGAATACCATCAGTAGTTTTCGAAGGAGTTAACTTCGATAGAGTCGAAGTAGGTAGTTGCCGAAAAAGTTAATTTCAACAAAGTTGAACTTAACACTTTGTTTTTGCAACAGTTAAGTCAGTTAGAGATTACTTGGTGTGAAAGTAATCTCATCTATAAATAGAGAAACACTCTCATTTATAGTTAATATACAGTTCAGTTCAGTCAAAATTTAATAAAAGTTTCATTCTTCTTCCAAAACCCTAATTCTCATCTCCTCTATTTTCTCTCTCAAATTGTCTTGTTTCATAATCTTTGTGTAGCAGAATCATCTTGTAAACTAAGGTGTGGCTGAAACAATCTAATAACGAGTGAAGAACGAGAGAGATGATCAATTAAAAAAAATGATTCTCGTTTAATTAAAATTGATTCGAGTTATCTTCAAAATTGATATTTAATTCCAATAATACTATTTTGCATACTATTCAAGTTATAGGAGCAATTTTCACATTATAAATTCTGAATCTAATTATGCGGAGTTGGAGTTGTAATAATTCATTGTGTTTGGTTTAGGCATTATCAAAACCGGAATAGATTTAATTGGGCTTTATTTTATAACGAGACAGATTAGATAGAAATGTGAATTATATATGTAAGGTTTTTATTTCATTCTTGCATAACTTTTGTAACGTGGTGAACCGCGACTAAAAGTAACATAACACAGCAAAGAAAGTCGCAATTCCAAAAACACTTGCAGCAAACACAATGATATAACATGGTAACCAATTTCTTACTTTATGACAATCACCATTCCTAGTGTATGCGTATTTAGTTGATATCAAGTAACTATGTACATTTTTAGATATTAATAAAATGAGCAAATAAATGTAACCTCTTACGAAAAAGAGAAACATCATTTACAACAAGTAACAGTTTTGCACGGATGCACAACTTCATTTACTTTGTTTTGATTCTTGACTGCAGTAGTAAGACCATTTTATTTCTGCAAAACATTACCAAAGTGAAAATACGTGAGAGTTTGTCAATAGTAATAAAAAGTGCATGTATCAAGATTCAATCTATAACTTACTTGTGACTATGACAACTAGTCTACTGCGATTACACGTTAACAACCTGAAATGATATTCATGATTTCAGCCTCAAGCTGAAGTTAATCATTGCATGCATGCATTAAAGAATGCAGCAAAAATGCCACCTTGAATTAGATTCTGAAAAGAACATAAAAGACAAGTGAATTTAATTTAACTGTATGGAACCAATAATATTCAAACCCCAATCATAACATGCATTTTCCATTTTTTTGGTATTAACTATTACGTAAGCATTATGAATATGATGAACATGATTCATCATGAAACATGTAGTTAACTTAATTAAGTTATTATTAATCACCCCTTGTTGTTGAAGAAGCAGAACCAGAACCAGAACCATTGTGTCTTTGAGGATGAACTCTTCTATACCTTCCATGAAAAGGCCAAAGAGACGAAACACGAGTCCACCTCAAGCACCTTCGTAACCTACCTCCACCACCTTCATCTTCACTACACTCATCTTCAGAACCTACAGGAACCTCTTGACGACAAATTGGACAAGAATTATGAAGTCTAAGCCACGGAACAATGCAATCGGAGTGATATATATGTTTACATGGAAGTTCCTTAGCTTCACCGCCAATTTCAAACTCTTCCTGACAAACAGGACAGTGCGAATTCTCTTTCAGATTCTTGCTCTCGATTTTCACCGTTGGAATCGCGTTTATGCCTCTTTCCGGTACCGGTGGTGGACCTTGCCGGTCGTTTTCTGTTATTTGGTCTATTAGTTCGTTAAAACCGGAACCGAAAAAGTAATCTCCTGCATCAACGCCACGTGGAATCGGTGTCGATCCTTGTCGTCCACGTGGATGAATCACGGGTTGAAACGTGTTTGAGTCTGAAGGATCCATGGGTTGGAGAATAACCCATGTACGTGGACGATGTTGGATCCCGGGTTCGGGTTGTGTTCGGGTGGGATGATGATCCCCTGTGCGGCGGTGCACGGGAACTTCTCGTGGGCGTCGTGTTCGGGTGGGTGGGTCGATCATGAGGGAAAGTGCTTCTAGCAAACGCGCTTCTGGGGAAGGATCGTGTGCGGTGAAGTCTATCATGAGCCTCGGTCTTGGTATGGTGATTTCGCATATGAATTGGCCGAAGCAGCGTGGGCATATTAAATCGGTGGAGTTAACGTGTGCGACGCGGACGGAGCGGTTGCATTGGAAGCACCAGTAGAGTTGGAAGTTCCTATGTTGGCCGTTGAATCTCTCTCTTGGAGGACTCAAAGACATGGTGATGATTATGATGATGTAGAAAATTGATGAAAGGAAGGTTATATAATATACGGAAGATGGAGAAAGGAAAAGGATTACTTATGGGGTTGCATAAAGTGATTCCTTGTAGAGATAGTTTGGGGATTGTGGCCTAATAAAAAAGCAAGAAGCTTTCTTGCAATGCTATTATGGTCTTTGAGGTTTCAATGAAACCACTGTTTCTTCCATTGGTAGGAAAAGGATAAGTGTTTGAGGTAAAAATCCAGGCAAAGTTTTTGTGATTTTGGATTGTGACTTGGGAGGGAATAGTGGTAACGGCTTACTTCTTTAACAAGAATGAAAAGAGAAGCTCTAAGTCAGAATTCTTCTGATTGCCATACCATTTTGGCCAAATTGTTCATTTACAACGTGGCTTGTAATTTTGAGAATTTTTTTTTCACCCTATAAGTTTTTACTGTACGTGTAAAATTTTATTAATTTTCTTACATTTTAGAGATATATCTTTGAACGTATCTTTTAGAGATATAATTTTAGAGATATATCTCCGAAATTATGGGTGACATTTTGAAATTTTTTGTCACCTTTGCATGTCAGATATTTTCGGAGACGCGTCTCCAAGAATATCTCATAAAATAAGCAGCTGCCTAATCACACAACCATTGTTGCCATAGTTGGTTTTCAACCAAACCCTTCACAAAAAAACCCTTCATTCTCAATCCACTTTACACTCGAAATCTCAATTCTTTTGGTTCATTACATCATAGGGAGCAAAAGAAGATAGAATTTCAAGTAAATATTCTTCATTTCCCTCTGCATTGCTCACATTAATCATCTTTTTTTTTCTTAAAAAAATTGTGTTGTGTTTGGTAATGTATCTCCGGAACGTGTATGAACTTTTCTGGAGATGCATTTTCAAAATTTATCTGTTTTTGATTTTCAAGTCTGTCTTTAGTAGTAGCAGTCATGTACTGTTATGGTTTTAATTGTTTTCTTTAGATATGATGCACTATGATGTTTTCCCAAAACAAGTTATTTCTCCAAATGTCCAAGGTGTTGTTGTGAAGGCGGTAAATGTTGGCAACCAATTTAAAAACAAGCAAGAGTTTGAATCTCATAATGAAGTGCTTTAATGGATCTGTATGGAAGCCTCTAAACTTGGATTTGGTGTGGTTATCGAAAGGTACCATAATGATTTAGATAGAAGATGCGCTTTTGTGATAATGACGTGTGAAATAAGCGGAAAATATAAAACTCCTCTCCAAAATTTTAAAAGAGACAAATTGATCTATGGCTTATATAAATTTTGGTTCTCTTATGTTATATTTCACACCAACTGAAAATGTCTCAAATAGCACAAATAAACATCTATTGGTATGTCGAAAATGTCTACTTCTCTAGTTTTACACCCGGGAAAACCTTTAAGCTCACCAATTTCACATCTTTCAAAGATATCAAAGACGAAATCCACCATCTCCTACCTTATAGAGACAATCGAAAGATTGTGAAGTTTAAGTATCGTTCACCGTCGATTGAAAACGGAGGGAAGATTGAGTTCAACAAATTTGAGCTCAAGACACAAGTATACGTAAGAGATATGCGGAATACGTATTTCCTTTTTGAAGAAAAAATTCTGCTCAAGTTGGAAGCGACGGTATCAAGATCATTCCAAGATATTACGAAGATGTTGAAGCGTCCATTTGGATATTGAAGTGTAATATTGCATTTTATGTTGAAATAATCTATATAATGCTTATTTTATGTTATAAATGTTAATTTCATTTTTAAAAATTACTTTTATATTGAATCTGATACTGGTATGTCTCCGGATATGTAACTACAAAATTATTTTGGAGATGCATCTTCGGAATAAAGTAAAAAAAAGGGCGTCACTCAGAAATGGCCTTACTTGAGCGTGTGTCGGGGTGCGTTCGGATATCCATATTCAGAAATAGGGGGCGTTTGTGAAATTTTACGTGGTGCGGTAGAAACATATAGGGTGCGTTAAGAAATTAACAAATTTTATGCTATACTCCAACATTTATCCTTTCATTCCTACAATTTATTCATTTTCATCAAAATATTCATGTATAAATAGTTTAAATTTGAAAATTTTATATTTATCCTTCATTTCATTTTGAAGACATCGAGTTGTTAGAGCACCATTATCGGTGCCATGTCACCATTGTTTCAAAATATCCAAAGCCACGTTGTTAGAAAATTTTGGATAATTGATTCAAAAGAGTGTGGTTTAATATTAGAACATTTTTTTTGCAGTAAAACACATCCCTTAACTATAAATTGGATTAAAATAATATAATTAATTAACTGTGTATTATAATATAGTGTTTATTGGGATCCATTTAATAGATTTTGTTAAGTTCTATGAATATTTATAAATGTTAGTAGAGTTGCTTAAATAATTGGGAAGAGTATAATATTATAAAAAATTAAGTAGGATTCATTTAAAGAATTCAATGGGGTATAATGAATAATTATGCTTTTAACTGTATAAAGACTTCGCTAATATGTGTTGCACCCCAAAATTTGCCCAACCTCTTTTCTTACTTGGTTTACTTCATTGCATTAACATTTGCATAGTTATATCATTTGCATATCATGATATCATTCATATAGAAGGAGATCAAGTGTGATTCTTATCAAGAGAAGCCTAGTAAGAGGTCTTATTCAAGATTGAGAAGTTATCAAAGTCATCAGGAGGTGATTTGAGTGCCTAAGAGTTTAGATGCTTGCATGTGGATTTTCTCCTAACTTGAGGATCAATTGAAGACCATCAGAGAGATGTGAAGTCTTGAATAAATATAAGATGTGTATGGAGTTCATAGAATGCCTAGAGGGCCATGGGAGAGCTCAATCAAGTCACTGTGTCAAATGCAAGAGCCACAGTTGAGGGGCAAGCAATTAGGGTTTCATATGGGTCAATTCTAGGTCAACTGTGCAATTGAAGGGTATCAAAGCCTACTTTTAGGTCATGGAGTTCATGAAATGATGTGTTGAGACATTTGTGGTGTTGTTCCAAGATCAAGTCAAGAAGAGTCAAGAGTGTGGGAAGTTGCTAAATTAGGGTTTCAGTGTAAAATCCCCTGTTTAGTGCCTAACTTCAGGACCACATAAGTCAAGATACAAGTTTCAAATGGATCTTTTTCAAACATACCTTTAATTTCAGTACTAGAAGTCCTCTATGGGATTTATAGAACTCAAGTTATGGCCCAAACAAGTTACAAGTCCTCAGATGCCTCTGAAATTTGTCTGTGAAAATCATCTGACTTCAAAGCTATTTTAAACCTAGAGGGAGGTTTCACCTGAACTTTTGGCCAACATGAAAGTTGTTCCTCATGATCTTAGCTTTCTAAATTGTACTATAAGTCTTACATCTGATTTGTAGAACTCAAGTTATGAGGTTTACAAGTCAGGGGTATTTTGGGAAAGTGAGATTATAGGTCATTTGGCATCATAGGTCAAAATCTCCAACTTGCACTTGTCAAATGGATTTTTGTTCAACATGAAACTTGTTCAAAATGTGGTTTTTAGGCTAGCCAAGAAGTCATGATGGATTGATTGGGCTCATAGCAAGACTTGGTTTGAAATGGCTTGAAAAAGGAAGATTTTCAAAGGATTAAAAGTTGGAAAATTCAAATAATTGGTTAAGTGACCAAAACATGTCAAATAAGTATTCATTTTGATTGGAAATTTCATTTTAAACACAATGACATTGGTGGATTTTTGAGTTTAGGCCAATTTTCACAAGTTACAATGTGGTTTCTTCATGTGCAAGTTACACATCCAAATCCCTCACCAAGGTATTTCAAGCAGTCCTTTTGATCTGAATTCATTCACAAGGCATTGTGCAAGTGATTAGAATATTTTAGAGCAAGCTACATGTCCAGAATACACGACTGTCACATGGCATTTGGAGAGAAAAATCAGAATTGGTGAACTACTGAATTGGGCTTCATTCAAGCTTCAAAAGCCCACAAACTCACTCTATATAAGCATATCATTGATTCCATACTCAGGTTGGAGCTCATTTCGTGGTGGAAGCTGAGATTGCATTTGAAATTTCAAGAGAGCAAGTGAGAATCGGGTTTTCATTTCCAAGCTAGTTCAGAGCAAATTGAAGGTTGAAGACTCTTCCTCTTGCATCACTGATCGTGTCTGGAGAGTTTTGAAGCAAGAAGCAAGCTCTAGCTACCTCTATTAGTGGATCTATACCAGGTTAGTAAACTTCAAAATTTCTCTTGATCTAGCATGATGTAGTTAGCAATAGACATGTGGTTAGGATCTAGTTAAGGAGTAGATCATTTCTGGAAAGAATTTTGGACAATTAGAGACAAACTTAGGTGATATGTGATTTGTATTTGAGCACGGTTTGACCTAATCTTAAGGCTAGAACACGATTTGGATAGATCAGAGTGATGCATGAAGCATGAAGATCAATCCTATGGTTTTAGATTTGGAATTTGTGATGATCAATTTGGATGTGATTTCTGAACTTTGATGCGAATTTTGAAACCTATTGAGAGTTAGGTGATTTGGATAGGAGATTCGTGATCTACGTGGAAATTTGAGTGAGTTTGATATAAGATTGGATGTTGTTGGTCGCTTGTAACCACCACCTCGCCGGAGAAGACGACCAGAGGTCTTCCCCGGCCACCACCTATGATTTCTCTCTGTTTGGAATTGGAATTGAGGAAGACAACTTGTGAGGCGTTAGATCAAGCTCAGGCGTGGACCTTGTACTCACATCTAATGGCTGTGTTTTAATTTCATTTGCTGGCTTTGACTTCCAAAACGAAGTCCTTTAAATAATTGACGTGGCAAGCCTCTCAAGCATTGGATTAGCTGACCAGTCCACGCATCTAACTGTCCACATTATTTCCTGGTTTTTGTTTTCTTTTAATCATTTTTGATTTTATTTTAATGCAAATTGATTCCAAAAATCACAATAAATCCATTTTTGATCCAAAAAATATTTTAAAAATATCTCCATGCTCGTGATT